ACTTATTTGACACCACACTAAAGAGCCCATTTAGACTAAAGACTTCAGCACATTCTGGGACCCATTAAATACCCAGGTTGAGACTAGATATTCCCTTTTTCTTTTTTTAATTTGTCCTACCTAGTTGCTAAAGTCAGCATAATTGAGCAATAAGCTGCTTTGCATTTCTTTAGCTTTGTAGGCAAGGTGAAGAAAGCTGCACCCATCCCGCTCAGTGCCGCCCTTTCAATGCTAATAGGGCAAACCCCTCTTATCACTGCGAAGGGGATACTGCAGTGATTCCTCAGGATTACTTTTAATTAAAAAAGAGGAAGTTCATGGCATAAAAATGTGACATTCATGACTGCTGGGAAAACTTACACTGCCAAATTGTTTCTCTTTTAGGCTAACAACATACTTCTTTCCAGAGTCAAGCCAGCCTTAGCCCACGGAAAAACATTCCTTATTGTCTGTTTACAAATGACACCGTACCCCAATATGGACATCATCTGTCCTCCAAACGCCATAATTAAGTCTGAATACATCTTCATACAGTGGAGAGAGAACTTACACAGGAGAGAAGGGAGTGAAAGGCTGGACATCCATCCAAGATCACAGAAGGAAGAGGGAAACGCCTTCTTACCAGTAACATGGACAAGAGATTGAACGTCTTGATGTTCTCCACTGTGGACACAACTCTGCTTTTTAAGAACTCTCACACAGGCAGCAAAAGAAGTAACCCATGCAGTGTCAAGCTCCGAGCCTATCCTGACTCCAACTGCCATTAAATGCAGGATGTGGCCTGGAAGATGCAAATCAGCCCCAAAGAGCAAAGAGGGCTGCAAAATGAAAGCATTCATCACCCTGATCATTCCCTATCCCCTGCTCTCCTGATCAAGCAAAGCACTGCCTGGTTTCTGTAGGCAGCAGAAATGAAGGAGGCAAATGAGAAGGAACGAGGGAAAAACTGGGTGAAAAAAAGTAGTGGGCAGACGAATTCTTCTACAAGGGGAAGGGGTTGTTTTTTACCAACTCACACCTTTAACTTTTGAGAAAACCTCTTGAGAGATGTCACAAATACTACACAAAAGTCGAGTTCAGCTGGATGCGCTACAAAGAGCTGGCAGGGCAACATTTTAAAAAGAGAATTTAATTTTATTCAATGTCATCCTGAAATTGGTTCTTCCCCCATAAAGATCTGTGGTCAATTTGCAAATTGAATCCTGTCACTGACCTGTAAGAGATATTTTAATCCACATGAAGTTAAATGCTTGACAAAACCGCAGCTATGAAATTGTTAGCAGTGCCTCCACAGTAACTGGGCACTTGGATGGATATTTAGATTAAAACCCTGGCTTACAGGCACAGTTCCCATCAATTGCAGATGGATTAGGATTCCATCCCTCTTGCTCATTTTGAAGGTGGGTAAAGTTTAAAACACAGAAAAAAAAAAACCAACTCAATTATAATTTTTAGCTGTCAGGAAGGAATTATATCAGTTCCATCTTCCAGAAGGAAATCTGCGCTGTCTAGCGGTAATCAGTTCCACATTTGTGAAGCCTTCCAACAAAACACTTTTTGTCTATGATTTGCATTCATCTTAGGACATACTGATTTCAGACCCTCTGTGGATTGTAATGTATAAACAGCCCTTTTATTTTTAAATGCAACTAAGAAACTATTTGGCAGGGCCATTGCCATTCTGAATCTTGAGAAAAATATACCAACTTGCAACTGGTGTCTAGGCTGCGACGCAAGCAAGGCAGGACACTTAAAGACAATTGTGTTCATTCAGTTTAGCTAAGAATAGGACATTAATAAGAAATATTTTAATCTAACAAGTATCATGTTTTAAAGGGAACTTTAAATTTTTTTTGTCAATTTGACAGGCATGTGATGATCTCATGGCATGGAAGTTGGAGACCGAAGCAGAGAGGTTCTGAGATTCCAATAAAATCTCCCAGCCCTCTTAGCAAACCACACGCATTTTCCCACTCTACGCCTCTCAAACTTTATTCCCATTAGTGAGAAGAGAGTTCTACGATCACTTCTAAAAAAATAGTCAAGGGAAATAAAATGTGACATATCCTCACAGAATGAACTCTGCCCCTTGAAGCTTACTGTTCACTAACTACAGTTTTATCAGCAGGATGTCACTAAATTCTGGTTTGCCTAGAACAGATACTACACATTCCTCCTCTTCAACCCTGCCTTCCTGGTGGCTGTTTGGGAGCGTTGCTTTGTGTCTGAAGGATTTTAGCCTAATTTTCTAGAGATTCAGGGCTGCTACACCCTCACTTGTATCAGCAACATTATAAACCAATGTTTAATTTCAGCTAGGATTCACAGATATAAAAGCCTTGAAGACATGCCATTCTCTGAGGTCTTGCAGGAAAAGACGGCTGGGGAGATGAGACCTCCAACAGCAATGCCCTTACAGAGGGACAGGCTGCAGAGCTCGGCCGCTACCTGCCCGCAGGCAGTAAAAACACATGGGAAGGAGCCGACAGCAGCGGCAATATGGTGAGGTCAGGAGATGCACAAATGGGGGTAACTAGAGGTTAGCGAGCAAAGGAGGAAAGTCACCTTTTACTGTGGTGTGCAGGGAAGAGCAATCCACCCCAAACCCACCTTTGTCAGCTCCAGGATTTTAGGCGTGCAAGGTTCAAGGTGTGCAAGGTTCACCAACCTCCACAAAGACAAAAAGCCACGGTGTCAGCACCTCCAGTTCTCTTTGCAGATCAGCCCACGGCACAGGCGAGCACAAGTTGGTTGATCAGCTGGAGTTGGGCATCACAGCGGCTCCACAGCGTCCGAGGCTACAGGCAGCCCCACCAGGCCAGATGCCGTTACGAATCGTCAGGGACAAGGGGGAAAGGTAGTTTTTGGACATCCTGCGGAACAGCACAAAACATCACATGCGATTCGGTACGACTAGGGAGTTGAGCTGCAGTCTTGAACGCCGACAGCAGGCTGATCTCCGCTGAGGCTGGATGTGTGAACACCCTCAGGTTTTCAGATTTAGAGGTGCCAATATCGAAAGGACTGAATGCTCCGCAAGCAGGCAGAAAGGCAGATGGTTCCCAGGACTGTAAATCAGGACAGAGAGCTTTACAGTCCCTTTTCACTAGTGCCTATCTGGGCCAGGTTTCACAACCATCATTTGATTATTGGGCTATGTGAAGGAAGTTGTTGAGTTTCAGTCCAGTTCCCAGTGGGCAGGTTCCACATCACAAAAAAAAATTCCCCCTATTATACAACTGACACTAATTGGATCCTTTTTAAGCTCTTCAGAAGAGAGGCCAGGGCTTGAACATCATGGAAACAGAACTAACTGTTCTGTGAACTCCCCAGAACAGAGACACATGGATGCAGTGCTGTGGGAGACTTATGTGGCATCTCAAAAAATATAGGTTTCAGATTCTAAGACTTCTGCAGTCTTCAACTTTCACCAACATTCAAATTCACCTACATTAAAAGAAAATTAAATTGCCCTCCCCCACAAAAAGCAAACCACAACAAAGCAAACATCCTCCAGCAAACTATTTGCTTGAATCTATTAAAACTTGCCAAGTCAACGTTCCAGTCTCAACTGCCTAACTCAGCCTGCCAACAACAGAAGTGTCAGTTTTTTGCTCCTCTATTTTACATTAACAAAAGTCAATTGTGGCAATGAATTGCACCACATGCCAACAATATATCACATTCCTTCACAGCTGTTTTTTGTAAAGGGAAGGAAAAGACCTCATCAGTCACTGACAACACTTCTGTAAACCATAAACATTTTAAGAACTCCATCCACAGTCAGGACGGTAAACTACCGGAGAAAATCCTAACAAAGTGGCATAACACAGACTATCAAGACCAGATAATAAACACAAGTGTACACGAAGAATTGGCACATTAACCAAATCACGGTAGTCATGAACTTATTTTAATAGATGAGCAGGTCAGATTGAAAAGAAGAAGTCACTGTTGTGCCCCGATGAGCAGGAAAGCTTGTTCCCAAGTCAGCGGGCTGGACTTTGCCTAACAAATTATCAAGAAAAGGGAAGCAAAACTGCATATCATGTTTGCTTGTATTCTTTAGAAAAGTAATAGCTAAATCAAAAGCATTAAGTTAATTCCCCTTAGGATTTATAACTGATTTAAACAGAAGAAAAAAAAATGCACTCCTATAAAACACCAATAGGACTTTAACACGTATCGTCAGAACAGAACTAGACTGCAAAATAGGGCCTACTACAGTGTATCTTCTAGTGCAGTAATTTCATTACCTGTAACTAACAAATAATAAAGGATAATAACAAAGAGAAAAGGAATACAGAACAGGGAGAACGAAGCTGATTATGAGGCATGCATACAAAAATGTGGCTGAGAGCTTCCTGGAAGCTCAAGTAAACCTCAAACTGTTTGATGTGATGTATATAGGCATTCACATCTTTGGAAAACAAAAATGCTTACCACCATATAAATTCTACAACAAGCCAATTTTTAATTATACCTATCAAAATAATAATAAAATCCTAGCAGTTTCATTCAACATGCTTGCATCATGGAGACCACCTACGCAAATATAAACACAGCATTTGAATCTCCAATTAACTATTGCCAATTATAAATGGGACACTTTTAAAAATAAATTATGAGGATAATGAATCATTTTCACACACAAAGGCAACAATGTAACATCATGCAGTGGTTTTAAAAGCCTCCTATTTTCTGCATTTCTATTCTGGTTAGTTTGTGCCAAGATTATAAAAGCATATTTTAATCTTAAAAGAAGAAGAGAGGAAGGTGAAAAGCTGCCATCCCTCCCTCTGGTCATTTCATGTAGATGATATTGCGTTCAAATATTCAGCCACTAAACCATTGCCATGGAACATTAACATTTTAAAAAGATTCCTGTGCTTGGAAAAAAGCTAAGAATAAATGGGCCAAAGGAAAGCCCATAAAAAGCTATTCTGTTCTAACACTGACAAAATAAGCACACATATATCTGTTCAAGTGAACATGAAGTGTTATGGTCACATGACAAGAGCCAAGTTTTATTTAAATCAACGTCACAGGGATAAAAAGCATAAATATAAAAGCAAAACTGAGCGACATACTATGCTTAGCATCTTTCTGTAACAAGCAATTAACAGTCAAATAGTTGGTTGCTGTGAAGAATTTTATGTCAGAAAATAAAACAACGCGTGCTACAGATGTTGTGAAAGCAGCACGTTTCAGTTGCCTGCAAAGTGAAAGAAACGTTCTCAGACGTGAACTCCAGCCTTGCAGGAGCCACCGAGGGGGTTGGCTGGCATGATACTGGTACCCAGTCATTTCTCCCTAAAAAGCCAGTTAAGATCTGCCTGCTCCTATTCTGTCACCACCCGTTTTTCTCTCACCCTGCGCAAATGCTCATATTTTCAGGTAAGCTGCCGAATTCAAAATGGGAAATTGCTCCTCAGGGATGTACACAGAACCTTACTGCTTCAGCAGAAAAGGAAACTCATACTTTTGTTCCACTGTATTCCGATCCTCTGACCAAAGAAAGCTCAGACCTGATACTTCTAACTTTAAAACACACACCCAGGAAGAAAATTCCCAAAACCTTTTTGGGAAAAAAAAATAGTCTTACTATTACAGGCTCATCTTTATAGATAATGATTTACAAGTGAATGCTCTGTTATTAAAAACAGGCTACAACAATATGTACAAGAAGAATGCCGTACAAACATTTTCATGATTATGCTTTCATATATTCCATCAAAAGGTAAACTACTTGAAAATACCTACAGAACCTTTAAGAAACCTATACTAGTTCTACTCAGGGCCCAGTTGGCTAGTACAAAAGAAAAGCATTATTGCTCTTTTTACTCTCAGAAAGTTTCAAAGTTTGCATTTCTATACTAATATGTTGAAAACTATCATTACAGTTGTGGCAAATATCAACAGAGGAGAACAGCGGGCAGATCCTTCTACCCTCACTCCTGCTACTGAGGACACTAGCTGGTGTGACTGACAGCATCCAACTGGGAGAAGAAAAGCAATTTTTTTGTGCAAATAATCCATCATTTTTGACTGAGGTCTGCCGATACACCATGGATACTGGTGACCTATTTCTTATTTAACAGAAGTTGCAACTCACACAAGTTCATTAGTTATTCAGAAGTTTATAAACAATTTACAAACTGAGTAATTCTAGATAACATCAGATTACAACAAAAGTTCTGTATCAGAGTTGTACAGAAAAAGCTTTAGGGAAGGAAAGCAGTAATGAATGTTATGATCAGGCTCATCACTGTTTCAGAAATAGTACGCTGTGTGAGTAACCCAATTGGGACACTCTTCCTTTGAACGTTTTGCTGAGCTGTGTGATGTAAAAATAGATTTGTATGCCTCAGATTTCTCCTCGCTGTCTGCAATGGATCTCTTCGTAGTAGTCGAAGAAGCCTTATTGACTTTTCCTGGTACAGATGAATTTCCATTATCTGATAGAGAAAAAGCAATAGAACGAAGCATGTGTAACAGCTTACAACTGATAAAAGTATATTTAAATAAAGACAGAAAAAAAGTATTTAAAAATGTGTACAGAGATGAAGTATATAATTTTTTTCAGGGCTATTGCAAATATATCCCATAATTGTACTCAACAGCAAACTTGTTCCCAGCTTTTAGAATTTATGCTCAAAAGGCATTTAGAAATCTTGGAGAGAGAAGAATTCTTTCTTACTTGTGTAAAACCCTTGCATTGTAATTCAGTATTGACAACATTTATTTCTCTAACTGAAAAATGGCTCTGAACTCTCATCTTAAGAAAGAAACATGAAAGTATTTCACCACCCTGAAGTATTGTTTAGAAATTAGCTATCAAATGACAAAAGCTAAGCTTGTGACATACTGTCCCCAGGGAATCTATCTCCTCCCTTTATTCTTTGCAAAGTCATTTACAACCAATAACAATGGTTTTGTATTTGGGATAGGAAAATGCCCATCCCTCTGTTTCTGATACCATCTCTCTCAGTACATTACATCGATTGCTACAATCTCCCCCCGCCTCTTCCTTAACAACTATTTAATCTTCTCCAAAGTTGAAGGTCAGTATTTTAAAAAGCATGTGCCAAGTCTCTTGTGCAAAGCAGTGACTACATAGGAGTCTACAGAAACTCTACATATTGTGTTTAACTTAGGCACAATGGCACGTAAATAGCTAGTAGGGAACCTGTCTGAAGATGCACTTAACTGATTTCTGCATGCAGTCATAGGAATTCTATGTGCAATCCTAAATCATCATAGATCAGACCCTTTTTATAGCTGGAGAATGCTGCTTTTAATGCCACCAATAGCTGTCTGGAAGGAATTACCAACGCTGGTAAGAATGAGTGTGCATGCTGCAAGTCCAGAAACCTTAGGGTGCCATGTTCACAAATTAATTCCTATGCTACTGGCGTTCCTCAGTCCGTGGATTTTCCTTTATTTTCCCTTTCTCTTCTTAATCTCTTGCTTGTCAGTATAACTGTTGCCAGAAACATAAACCACGACCTGACATTTCAAAAGGCATATTTTTAACTTTACACTCTTGGAAAAGAATAATACATCAAACATTATTAGAATTACTAGGTTCCTACATCCAAGTGCAATTATAATAATCTGGAATGAAATATTTTTTGAAGTCTATCCTTTATAAAAACAGACAGTAGAGGGCAGGTAAGGCATTTCTGATGGAAAATCTCTCAGTTTATCTACAGTTCATCATTTAAGTACTCTCAGATTCTTCAGACAAATTATATTGACTTTTTCTGTGTCTGTAGCATACACAATTGAATACTTTACACAGAAACTACAGACTGACTTCAAAAATATAACCATTCTTATAGTTCTGTATGAAGACATCAATATGAATCGGAGACCTTAAATAACATAATATATATTACATAAAGAGAGGGCACCATCCTTTGGACTAAAGGACTGCCAAGTTTACTCATAGCTGCATGACTACTGTAGGTACATCAGTTTGTCCTGCACTTACATTCCACTGCTCCCAGTGACACACAGCAAATTAGCAGCTAAAATGGAGGACTAAAAGTCAGGTCAGCAGCTTGGGACATTTTAATACACTTCACTGAAATAAACGGCCATAACAGATTTTTTGAACACATGTACTTCAGGAAAACAACTACTAATTCTCCTCACGCTACCCCCTAGCCAATAAAACAGATATACCAAAGCCTCGACCATAACTGTGTGAATAAGAATCTCTAATCTCATTCCTTCAAATTGGTTCCCACCAACTTAAAGCACAGCAATATTGGAGTGACACAAACATGCAAACCTGGCTTGTTTCAAGGTGAAAAAAATGCAGTATGGTGAAAAGTGTTTATTATTTGTATTAGTTATCTGCATCACTACAGCACTTGCCAGTCACAAGCATGAGCAGGGGCCCTGTTGTTTTAGGTATTTTGTGAAAGTATAACAAGAAGTCAGTCCCTACTCTATGGAGTATTTACTCAAAGTATAGGATGATGGATAGCAGATGGGACAAAGGCAAACTGGGCAGAATAAGGAAAAATGGATAAACAAAAGCCCTTGCACACTTTCTGCAGTCAGTTTTGTAGATTTTGCAGATTGTAAAATAAAGCTCTGTTTTAAGAAAAAGTTAAATTGACTACAGTTTCTACTGAACAAGGATCTTTGTGCATGTTCATGAAGCAGCTTCCTATTCCAGCTTAGAAAGGTGACCTTTTAGGACAGACTTTTGAAAGAGAGGGTTCTCTGAAAAAGTGAGCCACGACATTACAGCCCCTTTGAAAATAGGATTTGTCCTTTTATCACTAAGAAAGATTAAAAAAAAGGAAGTGAGAGGGTAGCTTCTGAAAACTATGGTACAAAATAGCCAGGGAAGGATCTCTCCTACAATATTTTTCAAAGCAGAACTATTTCTTCACATTTTTCATATTTAGATTAAAGAATAAACACCAACCTGAACTTTTGGTGAAGATAATCTGTCTCTTTTCCCCAGAACTGGAGTTGATGCAATCCTTTTCATTCTTAGCCTTTGATGGACCTGGAGAATCTATGAAAGAAAAGAAATGAAATCGTGACTCTGCTTCTTGATTCAGGAGGCCATACATAATTTGTAGCTGTGACATTACCTTCAGTGATATCCTGCTGAGAAGCTGATTCTGCTGACTTACATTTCTTTGATTTCTGAAACAACACAAGGAGAAATCTGGTAATGTACTGAAAGGAAATACAATTCCCAACTTGTATGTGATAGATGCACAACATTTTTATGTCTTACATGGTGGAACTCTTCCTTTCACAACATTGCTCCATACTTATCTATATGGAATTGGAAACCTTGAAGTTATCTTAAAGAAAATTGTGCAGGCCAAAACCAAACTGTTTGGATAGGGTGCTTTGGTTGTGTACTTTGCAGGGGGTATGTGTGTGTGTGTTATCAACATTAAGGTAATCTGATACACCAAACCCACATGGCAGGACAGTAAATTGCATGACATTAAACAGGACACCACAGTTAACTGTAATCAATAAAGATGTTTTTCAATAAAAAATTCAGAATAATCCTGCATCTCATACCCACTTAATTTTATTTAGTTAATAAAAAATCCCCCCTGGGTAACCTTCAATAGCTGGACCCTTTGTTGCAGGATTGCTTGAGAAGAAAAGATGCAAATAGTTAATCTACATTTTTTAAAAGCATCTGTGGAACAGATTTTTCCAAGTTAATTTATGTTTGTCCAGATTAAAAAACACAACAAAACCAAACAAGAGCAACAAGAATCCCATTACTGGCTTTGATTATATAAATGCCAAGCTGAAAAAGAAAGATGTATTAGAACAGTCATTGTTGTTACCATCACAAAAGATGACTCTGTATACATTCAGAATGATGTACATATTTCAAGAAAGCTACACAAACTCAAAGAAAATAAATATATTTGAATGTCTTATAAAAATTAGGAGAACCTAGGAACCGCATATGATTAATGCTTGAGGAAAAAAATGCCGTATCACATGTTGCTGAAAAACTTAGCCAGAAGGTGGTGGCAGAGGGTTACTAGTCTAAGGGCAAACCTGGCCCTCCTGGTGTCCTTCAGTGTACGGGAAACAACTTTTCAGGGCGCTTCCACCTTTATTATTACGGGTGGATTGACAAAGAAAAGTTACCTCCCAGTATCTGGCATCTGAATTATGAGATGTTTCTAAATATATGTATGCAAATATATTATACATAAGGAATATATATGATACATATTTCATCACGGGCACATATGACATAGTTGAGCTTGAACAATTTTTTATACTAGTGGTAACTGAGTCATCTTTATATCCATGAGATAAAATGTAAGGAAAAGGAGTTTGTGCTTCCTGCCCCAAATACAGTAGGTCCACTTAGACTGCTCCCCTAGCTGAAAGAAGGAACTGAGGAAGAGGTTGGAACAGCAGTGCCAACGGACCCCAAACTAGAAAATGTCTTCTGACGCTAGGACTGGAGCTCCCAGATCTCAGATTAGAGCGAATGGTGCCAGTGACAGAGAAGACTGGTTCTAGCTGCAAAAAGATCAGCTGGCACAGCAAGGCAAGGCAGTATTGCAAAAAAACTCATCAGAACCTGGGGATGAAATGCAAGAGGCCTGCTGAGAGATTTGCAAATATGGTATCTGTCTGTAACATCTCCACTAAACAAACAAAAAATATTTGCATATTCACCTAAGGTATACAGAGTAGTAGTATACAGTAGAGTATATAGTAGAGCTGCAATGACTTTATTTGCATGGCATTTTGCCTGGTCAGATTAAAAAAAAAAAAAAAAAATACAGTGGGAATTAGCACCGCCAGTAACCACTCAGGTCTATAATAACCACAGAACATGACAAAATTTCCAAACAGTAGTCTTACAGAATCAGACCAGGAATCTACGTATTCCAGTATTGTGTTTCTGACTGTGGCCAGTAGAGGCTGCTTGGAGATCAAAAAAATAACCACCTACCATCACAACAGGAACTGTCATAGGAAATACAGAGAGGATTTTGCTCATGAGTAGAATTAACTAATACAAGGTCTTTATTTCAAGAAAATACTAGTATAGCTGGTACACTGTCCGTTTTACCCATAGCATTAAACTCTGATTTTCAGAGCACTATGCACTGCCTGTTGGTCAAAAGACAGTTTCAGTACACACAACTGCAATATGCTATTAGCAAAATATGCATGCAACCTCATTACTTTTAAAAGTAGCACTGAAGTATACTCAGCTTACTGAGTAAATCCTCCAGCCCGCATGAAGATTAGCAGGAAAAGCTATGCGATCTAAGAGCAGATTGCATTACAGACAAGAACTCTTTTCAATTTTGTTTTAAACAATGTATAAAAGATTACCTTTTCTAATTTACTTTTAAGCCTTCTATCCTCCATTCTTTTCTTCAATACTTCCACATCTTCTTTATTACCATTCAGGATAATCACATCTTCTTCTTGAAAGGGCACACCACACTTCAAGAAAAAAAAAAAAAAGGACAAAACTAGTATTTTTTTCAAGATCTTTATGCTGTTGAGCCTTTGTTAGAATTAATACTGTGTTTAAGCTCCCAGAGGAGCTCTCCAATCCTTCCCCTTGCCGCTCTGTCTTTTCCAATAGTTCTCTTTTAACATAGTCTAATACATCTTCTCACCTAAAATGTCAAAGGGAAAATCTCAATTGTTTTCACCACTGTGCAAAATAATACTGATTGACAGTATCCCTCTCCACAAAAAGGAAAATAAATACTCATCTTACCAGTGAATTGTGATCTTTTGATAACCACATTTAAAAGCAGCTCGCATATCAATTTGCATAGCAAATTATAAAAGAATTTCAGAAATACGAAAATATTTTGTTCTTCAAAGCCCCGCCCCATGTAACAGCGCTATGGAGGTTGCCTATTTATTTCATTATCAGTCCCTTGCAAACAACACTCTTAACTAATTCTGTTTTCTCTTTAACGAAAAAGTCTAATTATGTATTTTCTGCTCACGGGTTCGTTTTACTAGCATAAAATGTACAGTGACTAGATTAAACAAAGTAGTCCTAGCTAGAATCTACTCAAATTTCTGAACCCTATAGCTAAACCCCAAAACACTACGGTAATTTCTGCTTTTTTTAGTGATGAACGCATTTGATTAAGATCTAAGCATTATACTACTCTGCTCTAGAATTTATCTTTCAACTTAGTAATACAACAACTGACAGGAGCAGTTCCTTTACACTGACTAGGAACAACACCAAAGGTGTTAACTCCTCTACATGTAGAACAGACAGCACCAGGGATTTTTTTTCCCCAACACCTAAACAGGAAAACCTGCTTTCTTTGGGGGTTTTGGGGTTTTTTTAATTATTTTTTAAATGACTGGTGATAAAAAGGGGTCATAAAAGCAGCATTATTCATTACCCAGCTTTGCCTTCTTGTTGTCCTACATCTGATTTATTAAACACTACCAAGTTTCAAAGTACATTTATAAATTAATCTGGATAATGAATATAATGTGCTTCATGTAATTCCACATTTGTGTTCTGGTTGAAGACACAGATGGTTTCACTGTGCACATTTTCAATCACCTGGTGAAGCCAGCACATTAACTATGAAGTTTTCTTCTCTAAGATCTCAATTTCCTTTTTTTTTTTTTTTTTTTGTTATCTTGTTAAATCCAGAAGCTTTCTGTTAATCTGCAGGATTAGTTTATCATCCTGCCTTTGTCATTGCTCTTCTGTTTTCTAAACAAAGGTTTAGAAAGGTTACTCATGTGTTTGCAGTAGAATTAAACAAGTGAAAGGACGTATGGATAGTACATCGACTCCAGTCTGGTCAAGTGATGAACACCGTTTAAAAAATGAGTCAGAGAGATTATGAAGGAGAAGCAAGGGTTATAGAGACGCATATTAGGTGAATCAGGCAGAATAAGTCACACACAAGAAACGGGTGAGTAGCCCAATTTTTTCCATTGCTACTCAATGAGCTAGTGCTAGAAATGCCAGCTTGGTATGAACTGACACTTGCGAGTGAGAAGTCTTGAAAATCAAGGCAGATGGGGTCAGGCTTCATACTAAGGCGGGAGCGACTAGCAGCTGACTTGAATCTAAAGAAGTCCTACACATTTGGTTCTAGTGGGGTGTTTTCTGAATACAGCATGAAAGACAAGGCACCCTCCTACAGGCTAGTGATTTAAAAAGCAATTTCTCCAATATTTTTTAAAAACATATTCTGTTAAGCATACAAAAGTAAGTGGAAATTTCCTCCAAGTAAAAGTTTATGTCAAAGGACCCTAATTTCAGTAAATGTTGCATTTTGAGAAAGGAAGCAAATCCAGGTTCCCATCTGGAAAACACAAGTAGAACTGTTCTAAAATGAAATATATTTACAAGAAACAGGGAAATAGAGACAGTGTCCTCTTTCCGGTCACTGAAACAGATAATTTTTTGCCATGACAACAGCCAGATTATATTACACAGACCAAACCCTTCTAAACATACTTTAAGTACAGCAAGTTAGAGGCATAGAACCAATCCCACTCTCCCAGGTTTCACTAACTCCAGGAGGTACGATTTGTTGTTGCATCATACATGTGCATCAAACATTTTTTAATTGTTGGCACTGTTGGATGCAAAGCTTTAATTCTGATTTTTTAAAACGCTCACTATCCCTTCGTGCAAAAAAGGAAAGATTTTTATCTCAACGTTTTGAAACGCTGAGATAAAAAGCAGAAGGAAATTTCAGTTTTGCAAATTCAGAAAGATTGTTCCTTCAGATGAAGGTCTTCTGGGGTGGATTTTTGTTTTATGATTATTACAGGGTCTCCCTTGCTGTACCTTGTTTATATTGGGACTTTAAATACATATGAAGGTACTTGCTGTAGTTCCTTGATGTTTTTGCAGCACCTTGAATAGAAGACGTTCCTAAATGAGACTGAACTTGAAAGACTATTCTGAACCAAACAGCATTAGAACAGCAGCTTGCAGATCTGAAGGCAAGATTCACTCCGTAACTGAAGAAGAGTGGGATGTTAGCTGAAGGAGATACTGGACAAGTAGCTTGATTTTTGTCTAGAAGCCCTTCCAAGGTCCAGTTATAAAAGCACGTTCAAATCTGTTTATATCTAAATGGCTTAACATGCTTGCATGAAGGAATTATTTAAAGGGTGTGCAGATATGATCAAAAAGTCTTTAAAGTCTTATACTCATAGATTTATGTACCTTGCATATCCCATGTGTATAAACACACACACACAAATCAACTTTACAAAAACCCAAAACCAAAAGCAACCTGAAGACTTAAAAATCATTAGAACTACAAAGGTGTTATAAATTGTAAAAGACGTATTAGCTTAAGCATAAATACAATCTTTTAAACTTAAACTAGTAAAAGAAATAGTGAAATCACTTTTTCAAATAATGAAGACCTTTTAAATTTCAAGTAATTTTAAGACAGTAGAATAGCTTCTCTTTCTTAGAGAATAAAATACGAGAGGTTGTAGTAATAATGAAATCTTAAAGATGTTTTCCTGAATTCTAAAGTTTACAGCTGCTTCTTCAGTTTCAGCTACATAAGACAATGGTTGTACCAGATTTCTTGCTGTAAACTGCTGTTGACAGAGTGATTTATTTTTTTTTTTGGTACAGCATCTAACATGTATTTCCATCCATGACTACTCCAGTCTTAATACAACACAAATAAACAACAGGCAAATATGTTTTCATAGCTAAATGTTTACATCAATGTTAACAGTTTAATGTCTTACAAGAAACCTGAAACCTCTTTCACAAATTATGAACAGTAAATTAACTCCTGCAGTCCTCCTAAACGTGACCATTGCTAGGAAATGCATAAGGCACGAATACTTTGCCAAAACAATTCCCTCCAGATTATGGCACATGTATGACCACAACCTGACTGTCCCTCTTTAAACCGGGTAGTATTTAGAAAGAGGATCGAACAGACACCCTGTTCAACCAAGGACCATATCACTGTTCCTTTACCAGCCACACAAGCTCATGTATTAAAGATTATTGTCTCTTGTCACTGTTAACTAAAACCATGTTTTAAGAGAGATACTCTTCCAGAGGTTTATTAGCAGTTCA